CTGAGCTGAGTCCCCTTCCAGCATCTCCATGGGCTTTCCTGCATCCTCAGTGCCAACCAGCCCTGGCCATGAGCTGATTGTGCCCCAGGAATCCCAGCGGGGCAAAACCAAACAGTTCCAGTTGCAACTGCAGAATTATCACGGTCCCAGAATCCCAGAAGGGTTTGGGTGGGAAGGGACCTTAAAGCCCATCCAGTTCCACCACTGCCATGGGCAGGGACACCTCCCACCAGCCCAGGTTCCTCCAAGTTTATCCAGCCTGGCCTTGGAGACTTCCAGGGATCCAGGGGCAGCCACAGCTTCTCTGGGCAACCTGTGCCAGGGCCTCCCCACCCTCCCAGGGAAGGATTCCTTCCCAAAATCCCACCTAAATCTCCTCTCCTTCACCTTAAAGCTGATGTTGCTTCAGCTTTTGAAGAATGTGGATAAAAATGGGTTGTTGGCTGTAGGCAAAGAGCAAAGTGATGCCCGGAGACGCTCCGAGCTCGGGTTATATTTGGGGCAATTCAATCAAGTTGTACTTTGACCTTAAAAAAAAAGAGGGACCAAGTGCAGCTGGGAAGAGAAACAAGGCAAGCAGCACTTCCCAGCCCTCATATTAAGGCATCAGGCTGCTGCAGAGCACGGATTTATTTTGTCAAACTGTCACAAGTGGCACCTTTATGGTTTTTTTATAAAGAGGCATTAGGATAGAAGACACCACGCGGCTCAAAAAGAGAAAAAAAATAACTAAATGAATATATTGGGTTTGGTATTGAATATATTGGGTTTGATATTGAATAGCACTGAAAAGCTGAGCAAACAGGGGGCTGCAAAGGGATCGGGGAGCGGGGCTGGAGACGCCGCGTTTTCCTCTGGGAACAGGGTGTAACACATGGATGGGGGCTCTGACTCATCCATCAATACATGTGTTTGCACACTTTTCCGAGAGCTTTTCGGCCCGAAGCTGGTTAATAGATGGAGATCTGAAACGCTGCTGAATTTTCCCAGATGGCTAATTTTTGGTCCGGAATAAAAGGCATAATTTTCCCAGTCTCCAGCTGGGGGGGGAGAGAGCCAGCCCAGCTCTGGAGTCACCCTGTCTCCTGAGGATGTAATTCCCGAGGCAAACACAGCCCATGAACCCACCAGGGCAGGGAGTGGCAGGAGGGGCCACGAATTTGGGTTGGAATCCTTTGCTGTTGCCCGAGGAGCAGAGCAAAGCTCCCCCTCGCCCCGACCCCCGCAGAGCTGGGCTCGGGGTGGGCTGGGAGGTGCCACTTCCAAGGGAATGTTAGGAAAGGATGATGCAATATTTCATCACTGATGGCTGTTGGAAGCGTTGCCATCTCACTGCTCCTGGAAATGCTGTCGGGAGGAAAATTCAACCTCACCTTGGGGAAACTTCTCCGAGAGAGAGTCACCCGTGGTGGGACGCGAAGCGGCACTGGGGTGGAAAACGTGGTGTGGGGGTGAAGGAAATAAGGGAATTCTCGGGGATAAATGTATTTCACATGACAGCAGCTGCTCCAGGAGCTGCTGCAGCCTCTCTGCCTCAAGGCCAGCTGGGATTTTGTGGTTGCCCATCCATGGAAGGAGCACAGCGGGAGGCTCCACGCTGCATTTCCCACCAGGCACGTGGGTGATGGCAGGTACGGGGGAATTCTTGGAGACTAAGGAAGCTCTGGAGGTGTTCCATGGTTTGGGAGACCCTCAAATCCCAGCTTGCTCCCCTGTAAGATGCAAGAAGTCTTCCAGTCTTCCAGTGCCTGAAGTGGCTCCAAGAGAGCTGGAGAGGGACTTGGGACAAGGGATGGAGGGACAGGACACAGGGAATGGCTTCCCACTGCCAGAGGGTAAGGTTGGATGGGATATTGGGAAGAAATCCTCCCCTGTGAGGGTGGGGAGGCCCTGGCACAGGTTGCCCAGAGAAGCTGTGGCTGCCCCTGGATCCCTGGAAGTCTCCAATGCCAGGTTGGATAAACTTGGAGCAACCTGGGCTAGTGGAAGATGCCCCATGGCAGGGGGTGGCACGAGCTGAGCTTTAAGATCCCTCCCAACCCAAACCTTTCCAGGATTCTACGATTATTCCCATCCCTGGATAAAACAAACCATTCCTGTCTCGAGCTGCACTGGCACAAGAGTGAGCCTGGACAAGAACGTGCCTGGACACACTTTGGTGGGTTTGCTCTCTGCTCCACGGCCCGGGGAGAACACCCCTCTGTGGGGGCAGGTCCCTCCACACAACACCAGCGCTCGAACCACAGGAAGTTTGAGCAACACCAAAGTTTGAGCAACACCAAAGTTTGA